ACACAGGGCTGCTCCCGCTGAGGAAACAGGATCCCAGCCCCCCCCCCCACCGGAGTCTCATGTTGTGAACTGTGATGTTCGTGCTTATATGTTTGAGGCGTTTTTGTTGCATAGTAAAGCTACGCCCTGCCGGGAGTAACTCTGGTGTGCCTTTTTTCCCTCCCCCAATTTATCCTCATGTAATTCCCTTTTCATCTTTTAAGGTAGCACGACTCGTGTTGCGAAGGACCACAGTCACCAATTCTTGTCATGTGTCTTGCCCATGTATGTCTGATCTCTGAATTGTGTGTACTGAAACTCAATTTCATTTCTCTGTATGTATCGCACATGTGGTAGAATTGACAATAAAACTGACTTTGACTTTGGCATACCTGTAGTTATCGTCCATTTATCGCTATCGAGGTGAAATCCTCAATATATTGTGATATTGACTTTAGGCCAGATCGCCCAGCCCTACATCTAAGCCACTAAAATATAGAATGACAAATTAATTTTTAACATGAAATCTAGCACTGGACTTATTCCGTTAGCATTTTGCATCCATACACAAAAAATTTCCAGTCTCAACCTGATTCCTCATCTGGCCTTTTATGATAAAGTGCAATAATAAAGTCCAACAGTCAATTTATGGGGATGGAAATGGAAGCATAATGAAAGTGAGACAGTGAAAACGAGACTTTAAGGAAATTAAGAAATCTAACAAAAAAGCATGACAAAAAGAGAACAGAGCACTAATTTCCATAACACCAGTTGAGCAGAAACAGGCAGCCCTTAGAAACCAAACCAAAAGTAAAAATCTTCACAGTAATCTCTTTATATTCCACATTATATCATTTTCAATGACTGATTAACTGTGTTAATTGGAAGACCTAGATTTAACAAAAGTAAGAGGCTCATATATATATATATATATATATATATATATATATATATATATATATATATATATATATATATATATATATAAAATCAAACCAGTCTTTAACGGTGTGGTTAACTGAAAAAACATTTTAAATTATTATTTCTATAATCTATCACTCTGAGTTTTTCATGCAGGTTGAACATGAAAACAACCTTCTATACCTATCGCTTGCATTAGCTTCTGAAAGAAAATAGATTGTAAAATGCTAGGATTTGAAAAGCCTGACAATGTGATGTCACACTGTGAATTTGCATTCATGGTCTTGCCCATCTTGGCTTGTGACTGCCCACAGGAAGGCTTTTAAAAATGTTTTAGCAGCGAGGAGAGAGGGGAGAGTGTGTTGGATATAGAGACTTTGCAACATGACTGAACGCGTTCTGTTAGCCAATCAGAAGCGAGGTGAGTGCATTTCATTAAAAATAATGAGCAATTATGCTCTTTTCAGCCCACCTCTGCACCAGCAAACTTCTGCATCTGAGAACGGGAGCATCCACTAGTTATCCACTAAATAACTCTGCAAATGTACTGAATAAAAGAGTAAACCACACCTTTAATTGCTGTGGTATCCATGTTTGATTTTAAATTAGTTGACATGGTTTTCCTGTATAAATCATTGGTTGTTAAGCAAAAACATTTGCTTGGGGAGAAATTATGCCACGTCTCTAAATAAAGTAAAAATCTCTAGTGCAGAGTGGAGACAACCCATAGAAGCACAAATTTGATCTCATTTCAGAGAAAAACAGCACAGGTCAGATGCACCTAATAAATAAAATTACTAACAAACTCAGGTATCTGTTTCTTTGCTTCACTGTTCTGGTGCTGAGAATATCACTAATGCGGATCAAAGGAGATACACAGATGAATGCACCTCTTATTTATTATTTGGAGACCATTTACTGCAGATGGCAGAGGCAGAGATTTTTTCTATTGATACACGGAATTTACAGAATCATTTTAAATGTTAAAAGGGGAAGACCGCAGGAGGGAGCGGTAAAATACAGGGGGTCCCCAGCAAAAACAAGAAACTTTACGAAACCCGCTGGTTTTCCATCAGGCAGTCACGGGGCAGCTCCAACGACCCAGTGGCTGTGCTGGGTCAATGTTATCGAGCTCAGTCCGGCTCGGCAGAAGGTGAATGAGCCGAGGCGACGTCGTGCTCTGCTTAAGAAGAGGTGTTATTTTCCCGCTTCAGAAGAAGCGTCCAATGTCTTTTTACGCTTTCTCTGAGACATGTCACGTTGCTAAGTTGTTAGCGCCGCGAGCTAACACGTCAATAGTGCAGCGTAGCCTGCTGGACGTTTTAAGGGTTCAGATGAAAACACCCGACCTCTCACGCTGCTCACACATCAATCTTAAGTTGTCGCTGTTGCGCTCACGCCGTAATACAGTATTAGATGCGGTTAAAGTCAGACATGAAAAAATAAATAAATTTTACATGAATAAGTGATGCTTAGCCTGGTGGGAGGAAACCCTGTCAAGATCGTCAACACCCGTTTATCTTAATGCTATTGAAACATGTAAACCAAAAAGCATTATATCCACTGCCACTTTTCCTATTTTAAACTCCGTAACTTATGCTGTACCTTCACCTTGCCCTGCCTGCTCCTCCTTGCTGCCCGCCGGCTGTGATCACAAGCGACAACATAGTAGTTCCTGCTGCTTCTTCGGGAAACATCGCCAAAAAAAACAAAACAAAAAAAAAAACTTGGGATCTTGTAGGAGTGGCGGGCCGCCACGGCTATGCCTATGTAAGGGAAACCCTGATAACTATCCTAGGCCTGCCCACACTTATGATTGTACCTCTGTTCCACTCTGATCTACAACTACACCTAGTCTTGTATACATTAGTCTTTTTTCTAGTCATTGTTGCTCTATGAGATTATTTTATTGTGCTTATTTCTTATTCTTAAACCAAGTACTGCAGCAATTTCCTAATGCTGTGAACCTGCTCACACTTATGGCAAAAAAACTCTTCTGATTCTGACGGTGTCAAACGCAAAGCTCCAAAAGGAGCCCTTGAGTCGTTTTGTTCTCCTTCATGGAGAATGAGCTCCTCTAACTTATTTCGTGGCAGTCTGGTTTTTGCTGATGTATTGGGATTCGTGACTGACGCTTGGTGTTTCAGGAGATTTTAAAGCTTTCATGTTCTACATGAAGGCTAGAAAGTTTTTTTTAGAGAACATCTTAGGCGTAAAGACATTTGGAAGTGCAGAACTGATTTTATTAAATACTTTTAGACCTTGTTCACAAAGAAATAAAACATTTCCTAGACTTTTTTCCTGTTTAAACATCCTCGTGTACACAGAAGTGTTTCTAGATGTGTTTTCATCCACAGAAACCCTAAGCCTAATACAAAAAGCAGCAGTGACTTTGCTTTGCCTGTATGTGACGCTCTAATACTACCGAAAAATCCACCAAAAACAAGGTGTAGAACATGAGCATGGTGCTCCCACTCTGGGTGGAACAAACTTCTACAGCAGGTAAAGTCACCTGTTAACCTACAGGCGGGGCTTTGACATGTTGGCGTCTTACACGTGATGTTTCTAGATTGTTTTCACTCTGAAACCCGTTTTCCAAAACACTTCTAGATTCCTTTATAGACAAAGTCTTAGTTTCTACATCACAGCTAGAACTTCTGTCTAAATGAAGTCATTGGACAGTGAACGGTCCAGGTGGAGTGGTGATAAGCCAGGGGGTTTAGCGACAGAGCGCAAGCCTGGAGCCATTGTTACAGAAGAAGGTGGTGATACACATCGACAGCAAAAATCACAGCTCTTACCACAGGCCTCTAAAATCAAAACAAACAGGAAGAAGGGGGAAAGTGATCACAGGTAACCTTAGCAATTGTTGGTGGGAATGATGGGAAACGCAACGTTTCTATTACTAAACACTTTGAACCCCGGAGAAAACAGGAGAAATACAAATTATATTGATTCTTTGTTTTCTACAATGGATTTCAGTATCAGTTACAATCGTGCGAGCGACTAACAGGAGGCTCGTTTCCACTATCAGAACTTCCAGATCATTTTATCAAACCTTCGCGGCGTGTGCATGCCTCCATATCACCGAACCAAGGGAGTACTGGCCCAGTAGCATCACTGCGCAGGACTGTGGTTAACTCACTCTGATTGGTTGTAAGAAATGACATCAGCTGATGTGACCGAACAACCAGCATTAGTAAAACTGGAAGAGCTGCTGGAGAAGCGGAACGGAAGGAAAGGAAAATAAGCAGCGTTCAAGTTAACGAAACTCCCAAAACTAAAAAACAGCAGAAATCTCCCAACAATGTTCTTTACGGCGCTTCTTCTGGTCACTGAAAGCCCCATTTCACTTCGCACAGCCTAATGGGTTAAATGATGCCATACTTGACAGAATAAAATATTTGATAATATTACTATCTGTGGATTTTTCGCTGATCAGCGCTGTCACTCACCGCCGAAGCAGTGGCGATACGCTGACGTCTTGGCAAAGTTCTGAAAGGGCTGAGACACAACAGCTGAGAGGAACGAGCCATCGTATATTCCCTGTCACCTTCCTCCCTCAGCACAGACAGGCATGAAGTGTTTTGAACTTCCTCAAAGTACCTGACATTCCAACTCTGGAGACGAGGACAAAATGGAACGTCAAAGTCAAGCCCAGAAAGCAGAAACAAACCGTATGATGAGTTCACCTCTGAGCAGACACCCCCTCCCCCCCCCAATCAGCCTCAGTTTCTTACAATCAGTCAGAAAAAGTCAGAAAAGACCATCAGGCAGCCGCGAGCCCAGCCCAGACACCCTCCTGTCACTCAGCATCTCCAAACAGCAAAGTAGAAAATCCAAACAAATGGCTTTCCATAAAAAAGAGGTCCAATATTTTCCTAAAAGCAGCATCTGCTACATTTCTTATGAAAACATGTTTTTATCTGAAGTTTGTACGTTGCATTATGCTTTCTTTTTGTTTATTTATTCTCTGGTGTAATAAACAACATACTTGTTAGTGACTGGTATGTTAGTTCTAGCCTTCCTGTTTTCTGGTTGATTTGATTTTCATGTTTAGTTTTGATATGAATTTATGATAAAGATTTTTCTTTCATTACTGATGTTTTAATACATATTATTGAGCTTTTGAAACATTTTATTCTATTTAATTACTTTACTTTTGGATTTTGGGGCCCTAAATCTACTTATTTCCAGTGTTTATACCAAAAGTTGTGATTAAAATGAACTTAAAATCACTTTTTACAACTTCAGAGACTTGTTTTGGAAATTTTCCCTTCATATACAACATCTGATGAAGCGAGAATCCTGATGGATCTCTGGCTTTTGTGCAGATGAAGACATGTTGTGAAGCTGCAGCGGCGTATTGCTCGGTAGGCAAGATGGTTGGACTCCAAAAACGTGATCGCTGGCATGACCTGCATACCACCACGATCGCTCCTCTGTTGTAGCCAAAAAGCATGAGTGGCTAAAAGTGAATGAAAAAAGTGCGCAAAGGTGTAAAGCTTAACAGTCTGGTAGCAGCCCCGCTCAGCCCACTCTCTGACTCTTCACAGATACAAGAAGTCTTCAGTTTCACATTATTTCCACCCGTCTGCCAGGCCTGTGGCGAGTGCAGCATCGGGTTCGCAGAGCGGCGTTTTGGAGTTTATTGCATGAAAAAAATTCCCCATCTTCAGCTCTTTTGGCCTTCGTCGGATCCGCTGCTCGAGCTACCGAGTGTAACTGATCTGTTTACTCCCACAGCCAGAGATATGGCTTGGCTCTCGGTGTGCTGTGTTTATATGTACATTCAAGTGTGTGTGTGTGAGTGACTGCAGAGCTGGTCAGACGTGCGTTATGATGTTATGTAACGGTTTATTCATACCAGTATGGCTCCACATCTCACTGGTGCTGGCTCTCTGTGAAAAAAGCATCTTACAGATGATTTCATGATGGCGAAACTTTAACTGGAGGCATTTCTTTAAGGATTCATGGATTATAGGATTATTTCTCTCTAAAAGACCAGCTGTCCTTCAGAGTTGCACCTGCAGGGTCGGGGATCTACACCATGGAGGTGGATAAACTCTCCCAGTGCAGCAGTCTGACCAGCCCTGCGTGTCTTTGTGTGTGTGTGTGTGTGTGTGTGTGTTGGTCCTCTCAGCTGCTATTCTTGTTCATGAGCTTTGCTAACATCTGTTGCAGCTGCACCCGGGACACATTCAGGACCGAGTGTCTGCTCCGAGGGCTGCCGGGGGTCGGCAGCGTACCGGCGTGCCGGCGCCGGGCCGAGGCAGAGGCGGCGGTGAGGTGGGCGGGGCTGCTCTCGGCTGAACGGCTCCTCTGGATGAAACTGCCTCCTCCGTGGGGATACTGCTCTGTCTCCAGGGTGGAGGAGGAGAAGACGTAGGAGGCCAGCCTCCTCAGCTGATTGGGCCGTGGCTGATGTCTTTCCTCATCCAACTGCAAACAGACCAATCAGATAAGAGGGAGGGAGAGGAGGTTAAGGAGTGGAAACTGATGGGTTTTTATTATTATTATTATTATTATTAAATGATGTTTTTCTACAGCTAAATCCAAAAACTCTCATTGATTCCCTGCTGTTGTCTCCTCCCCCTCCCTGACAGGCATTAGATGTGAGAGTTCGGATTGGTGCTTTCACACCAACCGCTTGTTTCCCTCACATCTAAAGCTTTCCGCTGATTGGTCAAACTTCATAAAAAGGAGGAGCCTGGAGAGAGACGTGACAGGGTGTTGGTGTAAATCTGACACTAATTACGGTTATCAAAAACTAGATAGAAGCTCTAAAACAACAACAAAATGGTTTCGCCAATATAATTATTAGCTGTCCGTTACTAGATTTGTCCGATTAGCATCCGTTCATGAGGAAAACACTCATTATAAAGATATTTCCTCCCCAAAGAAGTGTGTAAAGAATAAACACACAAAGTAACCAATAGGAGCACTGCACACACGCTAGCTCACTAAGCTACGGCAGTCTGAGCCCTGAGCAGTTACAGCTTTGCATTTCTGAAGGAAAGTTCACCACTGCACATGAAAACAAATTAGGAAACATGAAAGAAAGATGAAGTCATCAAGCACACAAAGCACAGACACACAACGGTAGGGGTGGGGTGGTGGGGTGGGGGTGGGGGGGCAAGTTTGAACAGAAAGAGGAAGAACAGAAAGTGAGTGAGAGAACAGAGGTAAAGGACTATTCCTAAACTGTGCTTACCCCGAAACATCACTTTATTTCTTCTCGTGTTGTCCCAATGGGCCCCTCGCTCTTTCTTTGTCTCTTCAGGCGAGTCAAACTCGACATACTGTTTGCTTTTAAAGCGATAGGTTGGGGGCAAAGGCATCAGTAGTTAATGTGGAGGGGTGAAAAGAATAGGAGGAGCAAAAAAATAAATAAAAAGATAGAATGGCAGTCCTCGATGGTTGGTGGCGGGCGAGCTCGTTCTGGGTCTACTGTGACAGCCGGCGCAAAATAAAGGAATGAATGAAAATAATCGAAGCAGAAGTTGCTAAATTTGTGCAGAAAAGGCCTCAAATCAAATCACTGTGGACAAAGTGAGAAATCAGGGAGGGGGGGTGACATTATTCAGCCTTTAAACAGCAGCCACCAGGTATGGAGGACAAAACCTGACCCGTTAGTTAAACAAAGAGTGAATGCATGAAGAAATCAAATGGTCACATAAATACACAACTCAACTAAAATCCACCTCTTCCCGTACAATAACACAAATGAACCACCAAATCCATGAAGACAATCCTGCAGAAGGAAAATTAAAATAAACAATGTCAAATGAATGTGAAATTCAACGATTCCAGATTCATTTTCCATAGAGGATAAACCGGAATAATATTTTTGCTCACACACACTCTCCTCAAACACCAACACGAATGTCCACAAGACACAAAATCACACCGAAAAATAAAATAAACAGATCTCCATCCTGAACCTGTGTTATTATGTTGTCTGTGGCTCATTTTTGTGTCAGTCAACAACATTTCATTCAGAACCTGCTGTCCTGATCACCTCTTTTATCTGAGCTTTGCAATAATTGAGGCATAAATTATAAAAATAATACTGACATATTTCATCTGCCTTGTCTCATGTGAATTAGAAAGCAGTCAGGATAATCTCAGTTTATCAGAGAGAAGGCGAGACGACGTTTATCAACGTTTACCACTATAGTGCTATAGGGCTTCTTCTTCCGGCACTCGCAGAGTACAGACGCTTCTGCTTTTGCTCCCTTATCTTTTTTTCCCAAGGCTCTTTGTCCTGTCTGCCCACAGAGCGCTTCTCTGCATTTCTTCTGAAAAACCCTATTTTTTAGAATGGATTTAATTAATTGGTCATTCAACGCGATTGACAAGATTTTTTCTATGATGAGAACGGAGGAGGGGGCTCCCACTTGCCCGCAAGGGACACACGCAGCGGGATATATGCTCGATTCCTGGAGGGAGTGGAAGATCGTATGCCTCTCTCAGTTGTCCATTGAGGATGTCAAAGACTTGTGGATATTCGGCCTGATGATCACTGGATTTCTCCTGATTGGAGTGGGAGGATATCTGGTTTTCTGGAAATTTGGGAAGATGGGAGCGATTGGAGGGCGACCCACACCCACGGAAAGCACCGCCCGTGTGGAGACCTCACATGTAAGCTGGTCAATGTTCTAGCTGCGATACCAGTATTAGTGCGCAAAATGGATGTCATCTCGGAGAGGGTCACCGGACGGTGTGGACATGTTTAAAACCTGAATTGGCTTCACTGGAGGACTTGAATGATCAGTTACAGACTTCAAGGCAGAGAGGAAAATGATCTCTGCCTGACCCAAACAAAGTCTTGTTATCCGAATCTGACGCCATGGCAGCCTTGTGAATGCCAACAACAAACCCCCACGAAGGAATGCAGACAGATGCTGTGAAAACCCGACCCCCCCCACCCCCCACCCCCCACCCCCCGCTTTCGGATTGGTAGACTTCAGCCTGGCGAGATCATCAACCTGCAGGTGTCAATGTGCTCTGCGCTCCTCCCAAGATCTCCCTCCCACCTGTGGCTCCAGTGGCTGAGCGCCATAGGGCTGCTCTCGCTGGGGAAACAGGACCCCCCCCCCCCCCCCCCCCCCCCCCCCGCCTTCCTCTCGGTGTTTCATGTTGTGAATTGTTGAAGTTCGTGCTTATATGTTTGAGGCGTTTTTTTTTTTTTTTTTTGCATAGTAAAGCTATGCCCTGCCGGGAGTAACTCTGGTATGCCTATTTTTTCCCTCCCCCAATTTATCCTCATGTAATCCCCTTTTCATCTAATTAACGGTAGCGCGACTCTTGTTGCGAATGACCACAGTACCAATTCTTCTATACTGAAACAATTGCCCCTCGGGGATGATTAAAGCTTTTTTTTAAATTTGAATTTGAATTTGAATAGTGTCAGCCAGTACGTAAGTTATTGGGTTACGTTATTAATACTGTTCATCTTAGTCTAGTAACATTCACACTGATCATGTGGACCACGATTAGCATAACAAGCTTCTGGCACCACTTGGATTGTGACAAATGTGCATTATTAAATAAATAAATATGTGATACATTTAGAAATGTGAAATGCAAAATTATATTATGGTGCCAAAGTCCATTTCTGTCCGTAATCCAACTTAGACTGAGAGACCATCTAAAGGAACCCTTTGCAGGTGTTCTGGGCTCCTTAGCTGATTAGACTGTAGGCCATAATCATGACAGTTACAACAAATAAAGGCAGAAATATCTGGTTCTACATGGAATCAGTCTTATTAGTTTCACTTTTTTAAGTTGAATTACTGACATTAAGTAACTTTTGCATAAATAAATATTCCTATGACTGATAAAATAAGCTTCCTGTTCAAAAATATTTTTAATAGTAATTTTGTTTTTATTTCATGGGGACATTTATTTAATGGCATCACCATTTAATAAGAGTATGGAAGGGGTTTCCATATTTTCCGATGTGTAGCTCACACCAAATTTTTGTTCTGTTAAACTTTAATTTCACTATATTTTACTTAGGTTTATTGTCTTTTCTTTTGATAAAGCCTCATTGACTTTGTCGTTTTATTTTATGGTTCATGTCATGTTTTTTGGAAAGTCTTGTTTGATAGTTTTAGCACCGTAAACACAAAACCGAGCAGCAAATTGAGTGTCTGTTCAGAGTAAAACAAAGTTAGTGTGAAGTTTCTGAATTTACATGAATAAATACGAACAGCCCATTCTAACGGCCAACAGGGACTCTGCCAAAGAGAAGCAACACCTTCAAAACAATCTGAGCCACCGAACAGAACATGTAGTACTCACATTTAATTCAGTGCTTCTTAGGTAAATCCAAAGGCACACCATAGACGACAACTATTCAGCTACTATTAGTCTACAATAAAAACATTTCTGTCTGTTAAAAATATGAAAATGGATTTACTGCAGCTAGCTAGTAATTACCTGAAGTCTACAGAGAAGCTCCAGTTTCTGACTGACTCTCTGGGGTTATTTACCATCACACAGAGCTCTGGTCATGTAGAGCAAGTTATCTAATTCAAACACAACTACACCCAGCTGTAATGCCACCATAAGCTCGTCTTGTCTCATCTTCTTTCACCTATCCGGGTCTCGGGGGCAGCATCCCAACAAGGGAGTTCCAGACCGTCCACTCCCCGGCCACTCCCACCAGCTGGTCCGGTCGGATCCCAAAGTGTTCCCGGGCCAGTTTGGAGATGCACTTTCTCCAACGTGTCCTGGGTCGACCAGGGGGCCTCCTGCTGGCAAGACATGCCTGGAACACCTCCCTGGGGAGGTGTCCAGGAGGCATCCTAACAAGGTGCCCAAACCACCTCAACTGACTCCTCTCGATATGGAGGAGAAGCGGCTCTACTCCAAGTCCCTCCCGAATGTCCAAGCTCCTCACCCTATCCCTAAGGCTGAGCCCAACCACCCCACGGAGAAAACTCATTTTGGCCGCTTGAATCCACAATCTTGTTCTTTCGGTCACTACCCAAAGCTTTTGACCATAGGTGAGGACTGGGCGCTAGATCGACTGATAAATCGAGAGCCTTGCTTCCCGGCTCAGCTCCTTCACCACAACCCAATCTGCCTGTCGCTCTCCCGATCCCTCCCTCACTCACTCATGAACAAGACCCCGAGATACTTGAACTCCTCCACTTGAGGCAGGGCCTCTCTCCCGACTCGGCCACCACAAGCTAACAAACCATACCTCAGAAACCTTCTTACCCAAAATCAAAAGCTAGTTGTGACTAAACCACTCAAAGGTCAGAGGTCAGGGATAAAAGTAGTTTCTTTAATTTAAATCCACATAAAAGACAACATTTCAGTTAATGCATGTGGATAATCAAGACTTCTGTTTTGTTTTCACTGCACATAAAAACAAAAACGTGTTCTTGTTAAATACCGTGACTTCATGGCTTCATGAACAGATGATT